TGAGAACGATGAACACAAGCGAGGTCCACTGGAAACCAGGCCACGTGAAGATGCGACGGTACAGGAACAAGAAAGCGAGTTTCGTGAAGCCGATAGCCAGCGGCTGCATGATGAAAATCATGTACACACACTGTCGGAATGTTAGTCGAGTGGGAAAGACCAGCCGAGAACAGGGTGACTAACCTTCTCCAAAATTACTAAATCTGGTGTCGTGCTGTAGATCCAGCCTTCGATGTTGCTAGGGTCGTTGTGGCCGCCGATAATGCCCTTAGCAGCGCCTGTAGGACTAGTCAGATAAAAGAAGGGCTTGGGTTTTGCTTGGCTCGAGGCTTACCATAGATGAGAACAGTGGAGACGCCGATGGTTGGGATGAGAGCGAGGAGGCAGAAGAGGTCGTCGAGATGCTTGCTGAGACGCGTCTCTCTGCTTTTTCCGGCCTTTTGTATCGCTACGCCTATTCGCAGAGTGACGAAAAGGACAGTCAAGACGGTAAGAGCGATGCCAGTAGCAAGGCACGAGGTAACGTTGATGTATGTGTAACCCATCTTGGCGGCGGTATAACGAAGGACTCGGAAGGAGTAACCGAAGATACTCTCACGAATGAGAGAGCTCGAGAGGATAATATGCTCGAAAGAGAGACTGATGGTTCGCCGTGATGATGAGTTCTACCGGTGGTGATCACGAGAGGTTATGTAGGACATGGCATTCACAGGTAAGAACGACGGAGGAAACTCCTCAGAAAAAATGCATATCTACACCCTCACCCTTAGCTAGGTACCCGGTAGTGGCCCAAAGGTGTTCAGCTCGATAGTCGTGCGCAAGGCTGGCACAGAAGCGCCGTTGGGCACGAACAAGTGACGCACATAAACCCCGAGCACATGGCTATTTTCCCAGCAGCGACATGCGGAAGATCTCCCGCGCCTCGGTCTAGATCCGACCCCTGGTGCGCAGTCTGGGGAAAAGCGTTGATTCGCAGACCCACCTAGATCGTGAGGCGACGACTTTCGGTCGTGACGGACCGAGGCCGGAAGGAACTCCTCGCGCGATTGCGGCATGCTTGAGCACTGCGCTAACCACCTCGGGGCATCGTCGTGAACCTTAACTGCACGCTGCTTTCGTTAGGACTTGCCTCGTGCATCCTGCGCAGCGCTGACCATCGTGAGTATTTGATATGCAGGTTTCAGCAATGTTTCTCGATCGTTCCTCCACGCATTCGACAACACCATGTTCGCTCGGTACAAGCTCGTCTCCTCGGCGGATCCAGCCTCGGATCACGCTTCGTGTTCGCATTCGGCGCACAGACGACACTATCCGACGATAGCACTGGTCGTGCTTTCCCTCGCAAACGTCTGTGTATTGGGCTTCTCGATTGCCATATGGCGCACTGCGGGTGTGGCCGCCACGGCGACCCCGGGAGATACGCTGACCAGCCTCGCCGCATCCAGCACCCTTGAGGTTCCCAACGACCTTGCTAGGGTAGAGTCTCTTCCTTTCGCGTATGTTCCTTTTCATTGGAATACGCCATGGGGTGCGCCCAATGCGACGGAAGCAGACCCGCTGTGGGACAGTATCAACACTGCGCATGGTCATATCGCAGTTGACCATGAGTTCGCAGCAGAGAACCACGTGAGTTACCCCCACCCAGGTCTTCGGGAACCAGGACACCATCATTGAACTGAGCAGTGGTTGACATCTTCTACAGTGGCCTGCCTCTATGGACATACCCGGAATGCCTGGTAAAGGGATGTATCTTCTCCAAGCCTACCATCAGCTCCACTGCCTCGTACGTCACTTTCTGTTGTTCAGTAAACATCAGGTACCTATGCATCTTTTCTAACCACCCCCATTCTAGCGTATCGTTCGCGCCTCGTATCTAGCTCTGAAGCGCCAAGAGTTCCCGCCCTTCCCCTCGCATCACGCTTTGCATTGTTTCGACGCCCTGCGTCAACACATTATGTGCCATGCGGATAACACTCCGCTGTATGGTCACGGCGATGGCATGGCTGGTGATGGCCAGATGCATCAATGTCGGGACTGGACCGCACTGAGGGATTATGCAACGAAGAACACGGCTTGCTTCCGCGATGGCAAGCCTGGTATGACCCTTGCGGACCACTTTGGTGTTTGTGATGACGGAACGGATGGTTTGGAGGAACTTGTGCCCGTGACGACTGGACTGTAATGTTTTATTCTTCTGTGTACAACACTTTAATGTATATTTTCTTTGTCACATGTATACCCAGATCACGAGGACGGAGCTGGTTTGACGCAGTAATCGTAGCATAATTTCTTTGTCATGTTCTCTAAACTTCACAACTTCGACTTCGTCGACACTCTCCTTACCGCGATATGTTACCACCACTCATCAAATCTAGGTACACGGAGTCCAGACCTCAGTAACTTTGCAACCCTCCCGAGGTTACTTGTTCGTTAGACGAGAACGATGCAGCTAACATATCACACAGCGTGATACAACGCCATCTTGTGAAGTTGTTGCATTAGGCAGTGAAGTTCTGAGTAGCTCGAATGACTCTGTGATGATTTGAATGCGTTGAAGCCTGACTCCATCGTCATCACCGAATCGAGACTGGAAGACGTTAGCCACGATGTACTTAGGTATACTACAATCTAGCTGTTGTATAGCCATGAGCTAGTCGAGCGTTGGTGCAAGTTGCCGAGGCGTCTGTAGCTCAACCAGCGACCAGGTAAGTGGTAGCGAAAAGGGAGTGCCGTCTGGACAAAAGAGTACTAGTCAAACGTGGTCTGGCCAAATGCGGTACCCTACAGCGCGCGTTGGGCTTCGATTTCGGCATTGCCAAGTAGCTTTTGGAGGCGGGTAGGTTTGCGTAGTAATACATGGGTGCAATCCCATTGGTTGAGTCCTAAGTTCCGCATCGCTCGGAGACCACTCCGGCCAGCTAGTGCGAAACCTTAAGTGACCACGCGATAGATCTGGCTTGCGGTACATACAGATCTTGCGTGTCGGACACCACCGACGTAGGGACTCGCTTAACGGCAGATCAGCGACGTTAGTATCCGTGCCTGAAGATCGAGAATCTGTAACGGGTGGTCTGGAAGCCTCAGCGATTTGAAACTTCGTAGTGCGAACATCGTCAGGCGTTGGGTTCTGGCATCGAAATCGAAGGCGCGCTTCGGAGTGCGAACCGGTTGCCCTCAATTAGCACAGAGTTGACGTACGTCAGGGGTTCAACAACAGAAGATTTGAGAAGACGTCGTTCTACCAAGCCACCATGAACGACTACAAAGAGCTGGCAAGATCCCTTCATCTTAGCATCATCAGCTTCAATCATCTCCAGCTCTTCTATCAGCTCCTCTCAGTCATCTCGGCCATCACACTCTTCGGTGTTTCCGTGCTATCAATCGCTTCTCAGCTTCGGATTTCACAATGCAGTTCACTACTACTACCCTCGCTCTTCTGATTGCTTCGGCAAATGCTTCTCCTCTCCTGGGCCTCAAGCTCGGTGGCATCAACGTCGGTGTTGCTACTTCTAGCGCTCTGTTGGACGTGAGCCTTGGTTCTGGATCGGGTGCTGCTGCAAAGGCAGCCACTACGTCCACCATCACCGCTGCGCCAACCGCTGCTTCAACTGGCCAGCCGACGATGCCATCGAGCTTCTCTGCCCCAGTTCAGGGTCACGGCGTGCTCTCTCTTGAGAACCTTCCCGCCATGCCGCCTGTCATTGACAAGGTCCTCTCTGGTGTTCTCGGAGCTGCTGTCGGTCTCCGTAAGTATACCTACTACCTTATCCCCGCCTGATGTTTTGTGCTAACCGACATCCTTTTAGTATCTGGAGCTTGCAACACCGACCACAAGTGCACCGTCACTGTCGCAGGCTCTCTCGAGAACCTGCTCGTCGACGGCGACAAGTACTCCATGAACAACACTGTTTCCGCATGGTGCGCCGAGGGCCGCTGCTACGGTTCCGCCAACATTCCTCTTTCGGCTACCGCTCCCTTCGTCATCACCTGCGACCAGATCTCTGGCCACAAGGCGTGCTCCGCCACCATTTCGGGTATTGCCCGTGCCATCTTCGCCAACGGAGAGCAAGTCGGTAAGTTTGACGTACCACGAGACAATTCCACAACAGATGCTAACAGACTATAGAACTTTGGGGCTGGTTGACCCCTGCTGGTTACTGCAAAGACGGTGTTTGCACTGCTTCCATCACCGCTATCGGTGACCCCATGTACTAAGCGCGACCTACCACAGCTAGAGTTGTGATGGCTGAGATGACTGAGATGGGGCACCGGCACTTGTCATTCCTTCTTCCAGTTCGTGCCTGGGCCCAGTATGGAGTTTGATTGCTTCAGGATTTGGTCGATACAGGCTTATTTACGATGTAATGTTTTTTTGCGGTATCCCGCGACGCGTTGGCGCCGGTGAGCCAACTAGGTAGTAATGAAGTACTTAATATCAAACCAACACATTTTTGATTGAGAAGGACTTTCCTGAGATTGCGAAATGGCAAAGGAGCACGCGTCGATTAAGCTTTGACAAGCGCGTCGTTACGAGCTGTGCATTGATGACTGAGATGACGGGAGCTTAGCCGGCCCGCATCATCGTTTTTCCGCTCTTGCTCATCTAAATTAAGTGACTTCCAACACCAATGCCGACTAGCCTCAGGCACCCAATGGCGCCACAACAGCGCGATGGACGCATCCAGACGAGGTTCCCTCCTGTTGCCTGGTCTTTTTCGCGGTCGTTTGATCTTATTCACGGTCGTTGTGTTTGTGAAGATTCTGTCTGACCCCATCCCACGCGCATGTCTCTGCGCATCCACTCGCTTTCTACTTAGTTAATACTTTTAATAATGTCTTCTTCTACTCAGCCGCAGCCGCAAGCTGTGCCGCAAGCGCCTGACGCGATCTCAGGAGGGCCTCCGTCTCCAGTCCCAACGCCCCCTCCAAAGTCCGCAGCCAGACTGTCCGACGCGACGAACGCGACCGCAACCTCGTCTGCGCACGCGAACTCGCCCAGAATGCCTCCCTCGAGCAGCCCTGCGCCGGGTGTTCCCACCATGGCACCCCCGGCGTCGATCCCGCCCACGACAGCTCCACAGGGCGCCGCGACCGAGACCGAGGAACGCCTTTCTTACAACGACAAGCTCAATGCTGCGGATCGATACTGGAAGTTCAAGTTTGGCCTTAAAGCCGCTGCCATCATAACAGGCTTGATCGGGATCGGTTGCTTTGGCTGGTTGATGTCCACAATGGATAATGAATACGACCCGGATTCCTCTTATTCAATCAGCTACGAAAGCTACTGGTCTCTATGGCCCAGTCTGATTACTTGGGCTGCCTCGATAGTCTGGTGTGCGCTCTGCATAATCGTGTTCCTTCTGCGCAAGCGACCTGTGCATCCAGGTGTCCGCGTAGCGATGGATCTTCTTCTATGGCTTGGCTTCATCGTAACGGCATTGTTCTCTCTTATAGCCCTCCGGTACTTGATGAGGTGGGGTCTAGACGGGTTCGATACATGGGGTTGGGGATACTCATACAGCAGCGATGGAGAATATGTCCTAGCTTCCAACAACACATGGGTATGGGAACAGGACACGAGCTACATCGAGACTCCTCGAGACTGTTCCCGATCCAGTCAGTTTGACAGCTGTGAGGAGCAGGACGCCTTCGTCAACAAACTTTGGGCCGAAAAGGATCATCGCTCAAACGTCACTTTGACCGGCGTGGTATGCCAGTTCTTCGGCCTGGTCATTCACTTTGCGCTATTTGTCTGGGCTTGCGTTGACTGCCATCGCCACCGCCGCCGCACAACGAGCAACGACGCCGAAAAGCTTGCTGCTGAAATCGTGCAAAACATGATCAGTAATGGTGCTGTTGTGCCGCCACCAGGACAGGCACACATGAAACCGCAGCCGGGCCAGGTCATGTACTATCAGATGCCGCCCAACCAGCAAGGGTACCCGAACCAGCCCCCGTATATGCAACAAGGACCGGGTCAGATGCAGCAGTTTGGGCAGCAGTTCGGGCAGCACCCACAGATGACGCAGCCGGTTCAGCGCATGGCGCCCGGACAGTACCCAAAGGGTCAACCTGGCATGGTAGCCTCGGATCTTCCTGAGAAGATTGCTGGACCCCGATATGCTTAGGCGAAGAGGTGGATATGTAGTACTATTTTCATTGATGAGGTTGAAGGAAGTGAATTTTCTTGGCGAGATACCCCAGCGAAACCTACCTAATAGTGTAAAGTTTATTCAACAGTCGACATCCATGTATCACCCTCGCCGATGCCTTTTGCTAGTGCTGCAATACCTCATCCGAAACATTGAACACGCGCAAGGTGGTGTCATCACTTGCTACGGCGATCTGTTGTGGCTCGCCATCTGCTCTTCCAGGTCGCCAGACGATCTGGTTGATAGTTTTCGCCGGGACCAAGTCTGCCTTGACCATTGATACCTGTGCCTGATCCAAAGCATCTGGCGATGCGCTCACAATGCCTATTGCTCCGTTCTCTGTACCAAAGGCAAGCATGATCTTTCCGTTCGATTGCACGCCGTTACAAGCTACGGCGGTAACAGCGGCGTTTGCTGATACGGTGGCCTTGAGCTGCACGTCGTTCTCGGCGATCTGCCAGATCTTGACACTCTTGTCTCGACCAGCAGTCATGAATGTAGGTTGCTCGAGAGGTGTCCAGGCAGCCCCCAGTATCATGCGCGAATGGCCCTTTGGGTTCGAGTGCTTGAGTGTGTATAATGACTGCTCTTCGCTGCGCTCCCAGATGACCCATTGTCTGTCTCGTCCAACACTAAGAAGGTACTTGTCGTCTGGTGAGAACTGCAACGCTGTCACGGTGAGTGAATGCGCCTTGAGTGCCGGTTTGACTTCTAGCCATTCTTTCGTATCATATAGACGTATGACGGCGTGGTCGATAGAGCTAGCTCGGCAGGCTGTTGCAACGAGACTTCCATCTCGGCTCACTGCAACAGCAGATATCTCGTAGCCGTGTCCGTATAGCTTCTCTGTCTCCGGCCATAGTAGGTGGCGTGCCAGATGATCCTCAAATGGTGGGTGACTGAAGTCTAGTGTCGATTTGCGAATGACAGAGGCAGGGTCGACGGCTTCACGTTCGTCTTCGTCGCCGTTCTCGACTGGCTCATCGTCTCCCACAGCTTGAATTGCTTTGTTCGATAAACCAAGGACAGGGATGTTGGCTGCATCCGGAAGCTCAGCAGTAGTTGACGCCTTGATACTGCAGAGGTTTTGAAGCATCTCCGCCACACCTCTAGGTTCGTCGAAAATACGTAACAACTTCTCGTCTGCGCCCGAGACGAATTGAGTGTTGGAGACCGCGTCGATGCAATTCAAGTCGTAGCCGTGGATTTGGGGCCGCGAGAACTCATGCCATGATGCTGGTGCGCCTTCTCGTTTCCATTGCGAGTAGAGCCGACTGGTTTGGTCGGAACCAGTGGAGAGCATGTAGGACCCATCTCTTGACCAGCTCACGCCTTTGACCTCGCGCACATGCCCTGTGATAGCGACTTGCTGTGTCCACATATCTTCAGTAGCCGAGTACGTCCACTTCCTCCAGCTACCAGTTCGCCCCAGGGATACCACAGTGTTTCCGTCTGGCGACCAAAGGCCGATCCAGAAACCTCCAGCGCTTCCGGTAGCGCTTGTCGAGCCTTTCTGTGCGCTGATCTCTCCTAGCCTGGTGATGCAAACCCAAACACCAGAGTTAGGGTCTGACTCCCAGATGGCGAGTGAGTTGTCTTCCGAAGCCGTGAGTAATTGGAGCTTTCCCTCGCGATGTCTCCAGGAGGCCTGGTATATCCAATCTTCATGTCCTAGTAACAACGCTTCGAATGTAATGGAGTACTTGGAGGTAGCAGAGCTAATCCAGTGTGCTTTGTTCGACAGGGACTTGCCCAATCCACCCAACGCTGGGTCGTTGAGTGCAGTACTGGCAGCAGGAAGCTCATCCCCACGGTGGAGACGCCAAAGACGGACGTACTTATCTTGGCTTGCGGATGCCAGCAATAGATCGCTGTTCGGATCAGATGTTTCTCTAGTGAATGCAAGCGCGCGTATCCATCCTTCGTGACCGGTAAGAGTGGCCGAAAGCTGGAATTGGCCTTCTTGCGATACGAAGACTTGAATGGTGCTACGTGTGCCCGCAACTGCCAGCACTGTGGATTTTTCGTCAAGAGTCGCAAGTGCGAGGTTCAGAGGAAAGTACTTTGGTGATAGTGTGATGGTCTGTACAAGCTCGACATCCACGGACCCGAAGTCTGCATCATGAACAAGCTTCCAGATCTTGACAGTGCCGTCTGAAGATCCGGTCGCCAGAGTTTCCGAGCCAGGTAGTACAGCTATTCTGGTGACTGGCTGAGTGTGATCTGAAATCGTCTTGACACAGTCGAAAGATTCGCCTCTTCGGCCTCGCCATATGCGGATTGTGTTGTCCGCAGATCCACTGAGCAGGACTGAGACATTGGGCAATTGTGTTGGAAAGAATTTGACAGCGTTCACAGCTTTGGTGTGCCCGCTCAGAATTGCTTGCACGCCACGAAGACTTTCATCCTATCTTGGTGAGTGAAGGTTGTGTCATTGGCCAGCCGCGACTCACCTGAGGATCCCAGAGTGCGATGCAGTTGTCTGCGCCGAACGCTAGCAGTTGCGACCCGGCCTCATCCCAGTCAGCAGCAGCGGGATTTCGATTGCCACCTGTAGCGATGAACTCAGTAGATATGTTCATTGTTGGGTCTAGGCGTTGCGTATGCGCAGGCACCGCATCTAGTCATCGCCGTAAGGATTTCTTTGGCGCTAGCCTCGCTTAGCTACATTTGGCTCAGGGCTGCAGAGCAGGCGCAACCGATCTCGATAACATCCGAATCTCTCACAACTCTAGCATCTTACAGACGAGCAGAGACGAAATGTCAAACAATGAGACGATCCCAATAACGATAGAGTTCAGGTAGGTCGGTTGTCCTGCGGAATGGCGATGTTCCTCTCTAATATTCTACAGCGGGGGTCTGGAGATCCTGTTCGCCAACCAGAAAAAGTATGATCTTGCCCTACCAGCGAAAGATGAGTCTGGAGAGCCAGCAAATGTTGCATTCCTTGTCAGATACCTTTGCGACAAGGTCATGAAGGATCCGCGGAAAGAACTTTTCGTGCTTGACGATACTGTGTATGTTCCTACCCCAAGAGAACAATGACATGCTGACATTAGCTTCAGACGACCTGGAATACTGGTCCTCATCAACGAAGCAGACTGGGAGCTGGAAGGTGAAGACAAGTACGAGGTTCAGAGAGGCGATCACATCATGTTTGTCTCTACGCTACACGGAGGATAGTTAAAGATCGCCAAAACCGAAATAAAATCCGCGATCGAACCCACACTGCTATGTACCTAATCACACAAACACCTTGCATGTGACAACGTCGCATTGCAGCTGGAAGCACAAACATATATGGCCGGCGTATACAAGTCTGCGGGAGCCTGGAAGCGGTCCGAATGACACCTCACCCTTACGAACTAACCATAAGCGCTACTTAGGCGTGATGACAGGGGCTTCACCCCTCACGGTACATGCTAGACTCCCTTTCACTGCGCATGTTGCGTCTCCTCATCTCTTCTCTGATCTCAACTCGCAATTATGGGTCGCCTTGACATCTTGCCCGCGCACGTCGACCCCTCCATCTTCGACGCGAACGATGTGTTCCTGGGCACTGGCGGTATCTTGTACACAATCTGCTACGCCCTGATGGCACGCCAGTCCATTCGCGACCGCACATACGCCATGCCTCTCTTCTCACTCGCATTCAGTAGGTGTTTTCCATTCAGACTGCATGTGAACCATACTGACCCGGTACACCAACGTTTAGACTTTGCGTGGGAGATTGTATTCGCGATATACGTGGCCGATGAGCTCCGGGAGAAGGCCCTCTTCGCCATATGGGGACTCTTAGACATGGGCATTGTCTACGCGGCTGTCACATATGGTGCAAACGAATGGAAACATGCGCCAGCAGTTGGCAAGAATATCGGCAAGATCTTTGCTGGCATGTTGGTATGGTGGTGCATCGCGTTGTGGGCTGTGAGCTCTTGGTGGCTTGATGTCGATCACCCCGTCAATCCAAAAGTTGGAAAAGCGTACCGCGGCAATCTGGGCATCGACAAGGACGAGCTCGGTTTCTGGACTGCGATGGTCGCACAGGTCGTGCTGAGCGTCATGTCATTGGCACAGCTTGTGGTTAGAGGGAGCAGTCGTGGGTCTTCGTATAGCATTTGGGCGTGCCGTTTTATCGGCAGTGTGTCGGGGTTGACGGTGAATTACGGATATGTCTGGTGGGTATGGCCAGAATCACACGGCTACTACGTCAATCCGATATCAGTGGTGATGATGGTGACATGGATACTGGCTGATCTGGGATACTTGGTGGTGTTTCGCAACGTGCAGCGGACGGGCGGGGTTGTCGACGGCAAAACCAAGTGAACGACTGTTGTAGAAGATGGAAGTAGTCTAGATTGGAATGCTCAGAAGCGTCAGCCATGTATTCATTGCCATGTACCGAAGCGCATCCTCGCTGGTGTGCTAGGACGAATAGAGCTCGAAGCCGTGATAACCCATATAGGTTGCCAAGCCTTGGTCACATGCTTTCGCGACAGCGCGTCCAAGGTCCTGCCATGCCGGATCGCTTCCGCTCCTCAACGAATCTCTTTGTTTACCGAATCACTAACATTCCCATAACAACAACATCTTGACTCTTGGACACATGGACTCTGATGATGAAGATCTCAAGCTTGCGATGGCAATGTCCTTACAGGCGAATTCTCTTCGGGCTGCACGCGGCAGCGCATCGGGCGATAAGCACGAGTCAATCGACCTCACATCTGACACTGAGGACGAAGATGACGACGATCTCAGGCGTGCGATTGCCCTATCGATGCAGGAAAGCGCCAATAATGACGTGCAACAGTCATCGGCTTCGAGCGCACCGCCAACGAGTGTAGCCAAGACAGCAGCCGTCGTCGACAAACCTCCAGGTTTCATGGGTATGGATCGGAAGGCGATGGAATTGGAGCGTCTCGCAAGGCTCGGCAAAAGGAAGCGGGAAGCATCGCCCGAGGCACCTTCTAAGCAAATTGCAAGAGCGCCTGCCGCAAAAGGCGATTCAGGCGAAACACCATTACAATACCCCAGTGGCGCGATCAAGCGCACCTTTGCGTCCAAGTACCCGCGAACTGACGACATCACTATTGAAGAACTACTAGAAGCCGACAAAGTCAATACCGCAGTCATCAGCTCGTTCCAGTACGATTCGGGATGGCTCTATGAAAAACTGGACCCGACAAAGGTCAAGCAGATCTGGCTGATGACTGGCAAGCACAGAGGCGAGGACGTTCAGGCAAAGCGCATACAAGAGTGGAGGGAGTCTCGCGTACCGAACATGAAGCTCCATTTCCCGCCTATGGGTGGCATGATAGCCAGCATGCACAGCAAATTCATGCTCTTGTTCGGAAAAGACAAGCTACGCATTGCGATTCCGACTGCAAACATGACACAGACCGACTGGGGCGAGGTCGCAAACGACTGGCAGCCCGGCATCATGGAGAACTCGGTGTTCTTGATAGACCTCCCTCGCAGACATGACGGTACTGTCACGGAGGCGAAAGACCTGACACCTTTTGGTCGCGAGTTGGTATACTTCTTGGAGCAGCAGGAAGTGGGTCCGCAGGTCATCACCGGTCTGTTGAAATGCGACTTCTCGAAGACTCATCATTTGGCCTTTGTGCACTCCATGTATGTCCTCAACTATGCTCATTAGGGGCCAGTACTAACTCAAAATAGTGGCGGTTCGCACAAGACCGAATCAACCCATCCCACAGGTCTCCCTAGCCTCGCACACGCTATAAGAGAGCTCAATCTAGGTGAAGTCGAGCATATTGAGCTTGATTACGCAGCATCCTCGCTCGGTTCTATCAACGATGCCTTCTTGTCGCGCATTCGCCTCGCTGCATGCGGCAAGTCGTTCGGGACAAACACTGCGCCAGAGTCTAACGTACGCGACTGCTTTCGGATATATTTCCCTACCAACGAAACGGTTGAGAAAAGCATGGGCGGTCCTGACGGTGCCGGTATCATTACGTTGACAAGACAGGCTTACAACGCACCATCGTTTCCAAGAGAATGCATGCGAGACTACGACTCGATGCGACGGGGGATGCTGTCGCATAGCAAACTGCTCTTCGCGCGAGGTCGTAGAAAGAACGGGAAGCCCTTTGCTTGGGTTTATGTTGGCTCTGCCAACATATCCGAATCAGCGTGGGGAGGGCAAAAGGTATTGAAGAGCGGACAAATGGGGAGTCTGAACATCAGGTACGCAAACACACATTTGGTTTGCATGTGAGACAAATGCTAACTTAGTATAAAACATGACAGGAACTGGGAGTGTGGTGTTGTCATGCCTGTGCCAGAGGCAAAGCTTCAGGGTCTCAAGCAGGATGACGTACCGTCGATGAGCGTGTTTGACGGAACGATTGAGGTCCCTTTTCGAGTTCCTGCGGACGAATACAAGGGCAGACAGCCCTGGTTCTTCAGGTCATGAGCGTAGTTTAGTTGCATCGGTGCAAACGGCGACTCCGAAATCTTGGTTCTCCGGGCGGAACCGCTGGATACTTAAGTTGTTTGGTGCGCATGTCGTGATCGGAGACATTTCCGCCCAGCAGAACCTTTCTGGCTGCACGCATACAGGGGGACCACGCACACCTCAGTCAGATAGCGATGACTTGAACCCAAACAGAGAGTAATGCGAGACTTCGCAGGGTCTTGAGGCAGACCGTATATACCGTATTGCAGTGCACGTGATTGGACACGATGCCTGGTGTCGATCATCACATGGGTGAACCGAGTCTTCCCGGAGCAGCCGGACCAATGCGGGCGCGCGTGGTGGACGAAGCGGACATTCGGGCCTCTTAGCAAAAGTTCCGTCGCGCCTCGCCAGCACGACGTAAGAGCCATGATAGCCGTATATGCACGCGCCATGAAGCTGTGAGTTCCACCATGATGATACGGACCCTTCTTTGTTTGTATCACGCATGTGTCCCCTTGATCTAGCCTCATGTCGGACCCAAAGCGCACGCGTCTCTCGGGCGATGCCTTGTTGCTGCAAGAGGGTAGCAATAGAGCCATGGCCGCGCCGCTGCACACCTGGTTCACTTCGCCCGCGCGGACGCACAGCAACTTAGCGCAGGCGAAAGAGCTGCCCTTGCACCTGATTCAGCTCATCCTCACACACGTACGTTGGTCTGCGCCCTGCCACGCGACGAGCTGCCCCAACCGAGCTATACTAACACGCACGGAAGCTCGACGATGTCGGTGACCTCGCGCGCATCACGCGCACGTCGCGTCTGTTCTACTACATGACGCTTCCGCGGCTCTACGAGACGGTCACGTTACACTCGTATGCCGAGATACGATACGTAGATGGCAGGCCAGAAGGCTACGGCAATGGCAGCCCGTTTGCCATGGGCCTCAACACGCTCGTGTCGCGAAACTTTGGCGACTACATACAGACGTTCCGGGTCAAAGGCGATTGGCGAGAACATGATACGGAGGAATACAAGCAGGGCCGAGTGCCGGACAACAGCATGATACTGCAGGTTGTCATGCGTGCCGCCATTGACAAGATGAAGAACCTCAAGGCTTTCGCGTAGGTGTCGTACCAGAATCATATCGGACAATTGCTGATATGCCCAGTTGGGAGCTGAGCACTCCTCCTTTGTATACCGTCTACCAGGGCATCGCAGCCAGGACGACGCTTGTCTCGCTCACCCTTCGGTGTCAAACCAAACGAATACCACGGCCGACGACCATTATACCTCCGCTTCCGAACCTGACCACTCTGATCGTGTACGATATCGATCCTCTCTGCTACCCCGACGATATCTCGCTGCTTCTGTTGGGTTCCAAAAAGCTCGAGCACCTCACATTACACTGGAGTCCGCGCATGCGGGCTGTAGGCGAAGAGTCGATTTCGCTGCACTCGTTATTCGGACGATGCATGTCTGCCAAGTATTCTATACCTCTTAAGCACCTGGGAATATACAACATCTACACTCGCTTCTCCGACGATGGCTTCCACCATGTTATCCGCCCCGACACCAATACAGAGCTCACCCTGATCAACGCCATGGGCTCCTCGGACCCTATGACCGTTTTTGCCGACGACTCTTGGAGGATACACAGTAATCACCCGACGCCTCACAACCTGAAGGTGATGCGCACCGATAATACGGATAAAGAGAGCGCTGTCATGCTAGGCAAATTCAAGGGCATGGAGCGGTTTTACATTGTGAGCAATAGGCGAGGCAAGGACTCACCAAGATCTACCAGCGCTGCTGCAACCCCAACAACACCGTCCACGATGACGCCAGGTGTCATCGGAGTCTCTAGCGCGAGCAGTACTCCAAAACACACGACCGACCAACGCTGTCGCAGCATCGGGAGTGAATTTATTGCGGCCATTCAAACCAATCACAACCACAGCATTCGCCATCTCCTTCTCTCGGATCGCTGGGTATTATCCGACGATGCCCTGTTCAGACTTTGCCAAACGTGCTCTAATTTGGAGCAAGTTGGCTTCGCTTGCTCAGTGCCACCGCTTGAGTCTCTGCGCCAGGTCTTTGCTCTAGTGCCCAAGCTCTGGGCTGTCCGTTTTCTATTCCGCCCAAGCTCTGACACAAGCGAGGCGCCGTATCAAATCACGGATGCTGAGATGCATGCCTTCGCGATTGGAACAGAGTTCTGGCGACCGGAATACAAGAACATCAAGTACGTTGGCTACGGCGACAGCATCGTGCTCAAGCTAGGCGACGTTTACTACCCATCAAATAAGGAGTCGACACCTAACACCCAGGACAACAGCATGAACGCTAAAAGAGCAGGACCAATAAGAAAAGTAACAGTTGTGAGAAGGGAGGACGTAAATCACATCGAGATCTGGGGAAAGGACACTACGGAATTCGATCCCTTGAACCCTTGATGCAGACGCGTCAACATGACAGAATTTATATGTCCATCGCGACGAAGCAAACGAATCGCTTCCTTCGCGCATACTCTACATCCCGGAGGCTCCCGGGGAGACCAGACTCGGCCCCAGTAGGCACCGATGCCGCCAGATAGGAACCATGGCACATTTTCCCTCCACCAATGCCAAGAGGTGTTGACAGCGGCAGTCTGACTTAACTGTTTGGAAAGGACCTCTGTCGGAAGCCCACTTTGCAAGCCAAAAGCAAGCCAACAATGTATATTAGTACGAGGCAGTCGTGGAAGATGCGACTATGTACAATACGACCCATAGGACGGACACCTTGGGCACCTATCTGATGCCTCAAATTGATAAAGTTCACTATACTTCTTACTCCTGATTCACTCCTTTATTGGCGCAGCTTCCTCAGCTCCGTTGCCTGCTATTCGGTGTTTCGAGGTGACCACAAATATCTGCTAGATCCTAACAACGACACATGGACACGGTGAGAAGTCTCAGACCCTTCAAGACAATATCGCTGAACAGAGCTAGACGTAGTGAAGGGTTCTCCAGCGTTGCTTGTTGCCTACCGCAGCATCGCATTTGCTCCTTTCACTGACAATAGACCTTGCTCTTTGACGTTAATACTCAGCGTATTCACTGCCTAGACTATATGGCGATTCTGCTCTCGAACGACCCTTCAATTGACGCATACAGTGAGCGCCGTACACTTCCGCAGCACCATCTGACTACGACATGAACCCCAAATCGATCTATGAAGAAACAAAAAGGTTGTACACCCCGATCCGCGAAGCAGGCAAAGGTACGTGCGGAAGCATTACATTCTGTGTGCGCACACGGTCGGCTGCAAGCTCATCCACGACCAGCTCCGCGGCGCAGACTGCAGCCCTTGTCGCCGTCAAGATGATCAGTCGAGAGATGTGTCGCGACAGGATAGCCGATGAAATCCTCGCTCTCGAATGCGTTCGCAGCTCTCTCGTCACCGATAAAAACAACAGCGTCGCAAAGCACTTTTCCACCCTCATCGACTATGATCCGATCAAAAACGGCGGATCGGGCTGGCTGGTCGTCAGTCCCGTCTGTGGTTTCGATCTCGAGCGGCTTCGAGTCGTGGTCACCGCGATAATCCAGCCCTCGTCAGAAAACGATCCTCCGCGCCGTTTTCCCCTCCCAACGATACCGGAGGTCCTCATACTACATATCGCAAAACAGCTAACGCAAGCAATCGGGTGGCTCCACGACGTCGCCAATATCTCCCACAACGACGTCTTCGGCGGAAACGTCATGCTCGATGTATCCGCTTCCAACAAAGAAGCCAACTTCAAATTCCCAACCATCGTCTTGATCGATTTCGACCGCGCCACCCTAGACCCCGACAACATGGCAAAAGGCGCCGACCGCTCATACACTTACGAGCTCATATACATGCTCGATAATGCAGGTCGCACGTCCTCACAAGAAACGAACGCATTGGAAGAAGTGATTGTACCAAAGGAATCGATGACCTGGTGGGACGCGTTTAGAAACTTTCTTGTTGTTAACAAGGGCCAGTATCTCCAGGATGAGTCGGCGAGTTTCGCCAAATTCTGGGAAAGGTTTGGCGTGGATATTGATCGGAGGCTGGAAAATATAACGGAGGAGGAACGGGGAAGGGTGAAAGAGCTGGTCGATGTGGTCGCGGAGAAGGAGGTAAGGTTTCCAGGTGAGGAGAGGATTAGAGAGGTGTTGGGACAGTAAAGAGCGACGTTTGTATGATATTCCTGGCGAACGAAGAATGAATCTACAAGTGAGAGATGGCTTTATGTCTTAACCAACAAATCATATACGTCACATCCGCCATCTCCGCTACCAAACACATCGCTACACGCATCTCTACTCCTTCACAGGCGTACCAAATCCAACAAGGTATGGATGTGCGCCAAGCTCACACGCTCCGGGAACATCACCGCCACCCCGACTACATGTACCATGATTATACCACTGCGGACAAACCTCCCCTGAACCCGAGGCCGGCTTGTCAAGACCAAGTTCATCTGCCTCGTCCATATCGCTATCATCCGTTAGCTCGGGGGCAGACGCAGATTCTGAAGTTTGCTTGTCATTTTGTTCCGCAGTAACCTGCGCTGGTACACGAATCCCGTGAGAGAGAAGCAAAGACTTCATCTCCTGATCATCTCTCCTAAGTCTCTTATTTTCCTCCTTGAGCGCCTTATTCTGCGCTTCTGCAGTCTCCAGCTTGGACTTGTAGTACACATTCGTATCTTTAATCACAAGGTCAAGGGCAACGACCTGCATGTCTGCGCTCGTTTTCGCCTTTTCAATATCTCGGAGCTTAGTCTCGTATGCGGTTTTGTTGGACAAGAGAGATGCGATCTCAGCACGAAGGCCGTTGTGAACGGTGTCTGAGTCGATTTGCCTGCGGAGTCGAAGGTACTTTTCTTTGTAGCTGTTTTCGGCGTCGGCTTTTATGGAAGCGAGGTTCATCTTGTTGACGAGAGAGGTGAAGCTGTTGGGGTCGGTGGTATCGATGGGTTGCTCGGGGGAGCTTGTTAGCCACGAGGTTAACGTCATGGCTGTTTGCCTTTAGCTATTCAGATGTTGTGCGGTGTGCTTGGTCTTGATGATGTCGATGGCTGGTAAGATTGAATTGCCGAATTACTGGGTGAACCAACGTGATAAGATGGGAACAGCTAGAAGTTCATGAAATATGGCCGGGTTTCAGGCAGTTGTGAGCTTGAGACACGTGCATTGTGAACATGAGTAGAGGCCCCGCCTGACAAATAATGTGAGCACACGGCGATGCGCAATGATAAAGCAGTGTGTTTCCGTTCTCTTACTTGCGAATGTCTTGTTTATTCGAATTCGCATGTACAGAAATACTGTGCGGTCAGGTATCGTCGTCATCAGGATCAGGGTCTGTCGAACGGCTTAAACGAAGCGACCGAACTAGCAACTCTCTTCGCGAACGAGGTAATTCAATTATTACTAGATGATTAAGTAAGGCTCTCAGCATCCTCATTGTGCATCTTAGTGTTCTTCTCCCTCTCCAAGAATACCTCCTGCTCAATCCTACTCTTCTCAACGTCGACAAAGAAGAAAAGCCAGGCGCAGCTAACCAAGCTCAACGCGAACAAGAAGTAGAAGGGGCTGCTGTTGTTGCCGGTATCATCGATAATCGCAGAGCTCACCAGTGGGCCGATGAAAGCACTCGTCTTTCCCACAATCGAGAACAAACTGAAGAACAGGAACTCTTTGCCTCTCGGTGTGACTTCGGAGATCATGGTCTGCGAATAGCTGTACCACGGGCAGACGAGCAGCCCATAGAAGGCCTGATATACCCAAACCTCCCACTTGTTGTGGAAACCGAAGCGCTGCGTCCAGATGCCGATCATGCCCCAGCCGTCGAGAAGGACGATACATATGGCGACCACCATGAACATAGTCTTGGTGGATAGACCGTAGTACTTTTGGATGCGCCAAAAGGCGCCGATACCAACTGCCTGGGCAGCGATACCGACGATGAGCAGGTAGGTGAGCTGTAGACTGTTGTATGCAACAATCTCGTTCTGCAGGGTTCCAATAACCGTCACGGTTGTGTTGAGACTGTCGCCGAGGAGGAAGTAGCCTGCCAGATAGGCCAGACTTTGGCGCAGTTGCCAGATCTGCCGCATCGCGTAGCCGAGCTGTTTGAGGCCTGCTAAGACAATATTCGCGCGTCCTGGATCCTGACCTGGTCGCCTTTTCTCGAGGATGAACCATGGAAGAGCGCATAGGATCCATACTCCGGTCGCGAAGGCGATAAGTACCGAGAGACCCCAATTGTTGTTCTCGGCGCTGTCGTTGACGTGCAGACCGAACATGATGCCTACGATGACAGCCAGAATGAGGATTTCGAAAACGGATTGAACATAGAACGCCGTGTTGGAGAGCTCGTTTCGCTTCATCATATCGGCAAAATCGTACTCTGCGCGGGTAATCGTTCCATCGGCGAACTCCTCGGCTTTGACTCGCAATTCCTTGGTGTTCCTTGCCAGGCCAGGGAAGGCAGCAGTCCAGAATGTGATTGTCGTTTGGTATGCGATAAGACCGACGATATAGAGACCCACACCAGCGTGCCATTTATCCTCGGTATGAACGCCTAACCAGCCAAAGCCGATTCCGAAAGCAATGACGGACAGCCCTATCAGGATGTTGGGGCGCCATGTACCAAAATCGGCGAAAGAACCGAGGATCAAGAAAACGACGACCTGGATGGCGAAACTGATGCCGTTGCAGAGCAGCACAATGGAGTTGATGGTACGGTCGCGACCCATGAAGTACAGCACCTCGGAGTCTCCTGCAGCTTCATACATGAGGTTTTGGAAAGCCGTCGGACCGAAGTTGAAAAGAGTGAGGCCATTATCTCCGACGTAGTAGCTGTTCGTAAACAGGATGTCAGCCTCAGCACAGTCGACGTACTGCGCTCCAAATCAGTCCCTGCGCTGGAGTAGTTTGCATACCAGTAATAGGACCAGATCTCCCACTTCGATGTCTCGTAACGTTCGTCGAACTGGTCCGGCGCAACGGGGGTGTCTGTATCGACGGGTACGCCGACAGCTCCCTTGATCGGGTCCTCAGCCGGCGCACTGAGAGGCGCAAGGCCCGGCTCGTTTGAAGCCATGAATGTGAAATGGAACGGACGTAACGTCTAGAGGAACGCAAAAGATTCAGAGTCCAACATTGCGCGACTTAAAGCTTTTTCAGCCGGGTAAGTAGTCGCTTAGCGTACCCTGGCGATTCGTCATGGTCGGAGATAACCTCCTAGCAGTGCATGGGGTGAAGGTGCACCATGAGCCTAGGCCTCTAACGGCGCGGAATGTCGGAAGGATCGCGGTCGCAATGGATACTCCGCATGAAAAGAATTGCCGATGATTGGAAAGAGTGGAAAGAGGCGCGAGTAAGACATGCAAGCTATAGCCAAGCCGAGCTTGGTTCGTCGATGATGTGGGGTGAAGCTTGAAAACCCTGAATTTCTGATGAGCTAGATCGTATCTGGAATAGCGCTTGTCCGCCACTGGCGTAGGTGATTATCGAAGCCCCGCGCGCGGCGCGCAAACCTCAGTGTATAACATCGCGACATCTGGCACGCTTGCGATGATATTGCTACAGTCAATACCGCGAGCTGCCATCGCCAGATTTGATTACAATCTGGAGATGACTCCCCTACTACAGTCCACGAGGATGTTAACTCAAAAGAGATGGTCTCGAAAACTTTCTCTTCTACCACAAGCGCGAGACTGCATATTGAAGGGTGGTGAAGCATTCGAAGTGCACAGGGTAAAATGCATCATCAAGGTTCTATGATACTACAAATTTGGTATATAGTACAGTTTCCAAACCACCTCCAACTACGATGAGAGCACCCGTAACGAGTGGCACCAAGAAAACGATAAAGAAAACACAACGCTGTGAGCGATCCAAGGCCAGAACATCCACCCCCACCCGGCTATGTTCAGCCCTATGAGAGCCTGCCCTTTCGGGCGGCTGGAACTCAATAGGGCTGTCAAGCCAGGGTGGAGGGGAATAAACCAAAGATAGCAAACTTGATCCAAACAAATATAATCAACCCCCTTCAACGCCGCCAGAATGCAACAACCATGCGGAGTTGCGGGCAAGTATCTTGACCCTCAAGATATATCAAATAGGTCAAGCATCCTAACCCTGGCTCGGCGACGGCTTCGCGTCCGCCTTCGTACCCAAACGTGAAGGCCGCTTGCCCGCTTTGGTCTGGGCTACAAGGAACTCCTCGTTCTGGTAACGCTCGTCTCCTTCGTGTACGTTGGGACATCTGTTGCCCTTGTCGCAAGTGCCAACAGCATAGTTGACGCATTTTTGCCGCACACACTTCGTTCCTGATGCAACACAGTTTGAGCATGGCTGGCCTTCGTCGCATTCGCCTTCCCACCAGTGACGATAGCAGTTCACACATGGGACTCGGGTCGGCTCCGCCGGACCTGGCGTCTCGCGTCGCGATCGTCCAGAAGGCCCAGAAGGTCCAGGTGTAGAGCGGGAAGAAGCTCGAGTCGCTCGTCCCGGAACAGAAGGCTGGCGTGAACTGTTCCTGCTAATTTCCATGATGGGCTCATTCTGGAGGCTCTCGGACCCGTGAGACATGTCTCTTGAACCACTCTCGTACGGTTGTGAGTGATTGCGTGAATGGGTTTGGTAGCTGCGCTGTTGAGGCTGCTGGAAGTCGGCTTGGTGCATCGGAGGCGTTCCATTCGAAGGGAGAGTCGAGTTGAAGGCCGTCTGAGTGTTGTTATCTTCTGTGGGCAACCAATCGCTGACATCATATGCGTCTCCGAGGTTTGGCTGAGAACCAACGTAAGCAGCACCAACATCTCCCGTAAGTGCGTTAACATCGAAGGTAAAATTCGAATCCAACTCTTCCATGATGGGAGCGTAGTTTCCCGCCACTCTCTGGTTCGTACCATTTGTTGATAAGTTCTGCTGCTCAAAGTTCTGCCTCATATTCCAGTTTTGCCCAGTGGGGGGTGCAAATTGACTCGAAGAGTGTTGCGCGACGTGAGGTCGAGGCGACGCCACAGAAGAAGCTGAGCCGTACGAAGGTGTACGTCTCATAGACCCATGCGTCGGTGTCGACATCTGTGACCGGATTTGCGACTGAGCATCTCGCTGCATCTGTTGCATCATGAAGTCCCCGTCGTACGAGTTCATGTTGCCGGCCTGGTTGGTCATTTGCTGACCACTTCCCATCTGTCGACCGATCTGCGGAGACGTGCGCATCAGGCCTAAGTTATGCTGAGGAAATCTAGGTGATTGACTGCCGGCGTTACCCGCAGCCAAGTTCTGCATCAAGTGTCGCTGCTGCTGGGGTGACATGTTGCTGGGTGTGCGTCCTGGAGGCGCGGCCATCATGGCACCAGGCTGTTGCGAAGGACGCCGGGCGGGTGCCATCTGCCCTGCTGAGTCAGTCGACTGCTGTGACGAGCTTCTTCCATGCATGCCATTCGGTGCGACATGTCGAGCTTGCCTCTGCATTTGTGTGCCGCCCATCATGGTATCACCGTTCGTCCATGGGGCTGACAAAGGGCTTATGGCATTCGTGTCGGAGGGAAGCGAGTTCGAGTGCGCACGGTGAAAGTCTGGTGTAGTGATACCGGCAGCACTGTGTGTATTAGCGATAGCTTCATCCATAGAAAAAATGTGGAACTTACCCAGCTGCGTCAAGCTTCCTTCGCTTGTTAGAGTCGAACGCTCCCTGCGAAGAAGTCGGCTGGCTCCGTTTGGGAGGTCCCTGAGCATCGTTTGGCACAGGGTGCGATACTGATGCTGCTATAGGCCGTTGCTGGGCTATCGCAAGCTTGGTATTGGCAGCACTCAGCGCAGCTTCAGCCGCAGAAGCCCTCTGTATGAGACTAGTCTGCTCTGAACGCCATTCAGCCTCTCTTTTCTGTACGTGCTCTTTCGCTTTCGTCTCAATGTCCTTCTTCATCCATGCGACATGTGCGGTCGCCTTTTCTTCTATTGTCTTTCGGTACTCAGCGTTCTCACTCTGCTTTGCTATGGTGGCTTCTTTGAACCCATTAGCCTTGGCAGCAGCGACGCGAGCCTCGATCTGGTCCATGGTCGACGCATCGGCTGCGGCTTTCGATTTCTCTATCTCCGTGGCGATTTCTTGTCGTAATTGTGCGATCACGCTCTTCAGATCCTTGTTGACGTTGCCCTGCGTGTCTCTGTCGGATTTAAGCTGGCCAATGATCTTATCAGACACCTTTTTCTCCAGCTCCTTTTCACGTTTCTCCTTCTCTTTCTCACGTTTCGCCTTCTCTTTATCACGTTCAGACGCGAGGTAGCCCTGTTGAAAGACATCTACCTGCTTTGTGAACTTCTCAATGAGTTCTTCTTTAGAACATTCTCCACTAGCCTTTTCTTCCTCGAGCTTAGCTATCATCTCGTCGCGACCCTGAAGAATGCTATTAACACCAACAATGAAGTCCGCACGCTCCTTGTCCATCGTATCGATTCTTTTCTTTAGGTGACGGTTCTCGTTATTGGCGTGCACCTTCTCTGTATAGCGGTTTTGAGCGCGTGCCTTTGCTGCTTTTGTTTCGATCTCGGCGGCAGTAGCACGCTTCGCGGCATCAATGACTCTTTGCTTCCCATCCGCGACTTCTTCGACAAGGTGCTTCTTGGCTAGTTCAGACTGAGCAAGGCGCTGCTTAAGGGCGAAATTCTCTTCGGAAAGTGAGACCGTGGGCGAAGTAGCCTCCTGGGACGTTTCTTGAGTGGGTTGCTGTGGCTTTACGGGTTCGGGGTTCGACGGGCTCCCTTGGGAGGTGAGAGCCGAGGGCGCCATAACAGTAAGACCGATCCGGGTGCGGGTAATCGGTATGAAATGAAAATGCACGATCAACGCGCGGGGTAGCAATGTGTGACTGATGCGATGATATCGTGGGATTGTGTTGTGGTGAGTAGACAAAGGTCGAGGTGAGACGTAGGTAAACAGTGCAGGAAAGTGCGAGTAGAGGTGGTATTTTGGCGCTAGTCGCAATCTTGTTGCGGAAGTCGAAGTGAGTGTGGTATTGAATGCGTCCAGTGAAGGTGAAGGCGACTGCGCTGCTTAAAGATGGCTTCGCCTTAGGGTTGGCAGAGGTCGGCTGTAGATGTGCTGCGCTGTCGAGTCGCGAGAAATTTTGTGGTGCTGGTTGGAGTACCAAAATGGGAAAATCGGTGGTTGTTGTTGTTGTTGTGCGCGGAAGCGATGGGTCAGTCCTGCGGTTGAAAAATCGTCGGTGACAGAGGATTTAGGCGGCGCACAATGTCCAAGGTCGCGACTCGCGGAGGGCAACAGGCCAGACAACTCAGCTTGTAGTCGCGGATCCGAGTAACAAATGCAAGCCAGGTAAGCGTGCAGTAATGGTAGGCGAGGCGAAGCTGTTCTGGTGAAGGCAGCACGATATTAGCGGCGATGACGACCTCGCAAAGCCGACCATGTGACCTTGGGTTAGAGAGAAGATGCTGCCCAGGTGCACTATTCACAATGCCACCATCTCCTAAACATCATATCGAACGTACGATGATACGAAACTGATCCCCGCAGATGAGCTATTTGTCTTCCCGTCTCGAACTTCTAGACACCATTCGCCATCCTCTCTGAGACGAATGCAAAGATCCCAGCCACTTTAAGCTTTACGGTCCCAAGCAGATTCCGGCGGAAAGAGACTTGATGAATAGACGAGCAGAACAAGAGCGTTGTGAGATTGTACCTACCATGTGTGCACGGCGCTGTGCAATGGATTGAAGCCTGCATCACCTAGACTGTACCGCAACCGTTACGGTATCTTCAGCGTCTGGAGGCCTATAGAAAGAAAAGCCTTATCTTTCGAAGGTCGAAATGCAAGGATATACCACCGGGCGTTAATCAAGACCTTTCTCTTCCTCGCCGCCATCAAGGTTTGTGAGGCACCTGGGAGAAGTGAAAGTCGAGCTTGCGTTGAGTCACATCCTCTCCGACCTGGCTCGCGATACGACTTTGAGCGCGCGACGCAATATCGCAAGATGACATACATGCGCACAGTAAAAGACCTGCGCCATGATATTTCGACCGCCTGCGATATCGTTCGTGGTTTGTGCAGCCTTTGAGGCAGACTTCGCGTGCGCCTACAACATGACGTCATGAGCATTGAATTTGTTCGCGTGTCGCCAATCGGGGAATGCAGGAGCCATGATACATAGTGAAATTTGAGAGCGAAGGCATGGTGTCTTAGGAAATAGAAGGGATGTAGGATAGAATAGAACGTCGGACGTGAGAAGGAGCTTGCAGCACGCGACGCGACTGCCAAGATTGAACTAGGTTTGCCGATCCCCATCCCCCTATGCGCGTCATCTCGACGGACACTTTCCATCACGACAACTTCGTGTTACCAACTGCGGTCTTCGTGCGCACCCTCTTAAACCGATCGTCTCGCCGTCTTTCTCATTCGTCGACCACCAGATCATGGCTGTCTGGTTGAGTTACCGGAAACGCAACACCGACTCCATGTTTGATCAGCCATCCCCAGAGCCTACGGACAGCGCTTCATCACAGGTTGAGCGGCGAAGACGTCTGTTTGAGTATGGCGCATCATCCCGGGCCGTCGGCATCCGAATGTTCACCTGGGCACTGTCCAGCAAAACTGCATCAGCTGTTCGAGATTCGAGCGCCACGCGCTTGACCAGCTCACAAACCTGACGTCCATGCCAGGCCCAGAAAAGGACTACGACAGATTTTGATGATAGTCTAGTGAAACCGTGCGAGATCGGGCACGATATGGGACCTTATGGGCTGTAGTGTACGTGTGGTCGAGCTGAGCGCCATTGGTGGGCTCGGAAATCTGCATGGCGTCTCCAATGAACGGTCAGTCCGATATCAGTTATACAGTCGAGCTCCCTGTCAACACGGCCGGCGATGGTGGGCCTTACCTCTGCCGAGGTATCGGTGACAGCTATTCGCCATGTTCCTACGTTGCTGACGGCCAACGGCGTGGTAAGCTTACGCCCTAATATAGACCCCGCTTCGTCACGTCCTCGTCTACTCAAAGGTGGACAAAGCGTTCGAAGTCCTATATGTACAAGTAACCGTCATAACATCTGTCCTTCGTTCCTTTTACTCGTCACTATACTACTCTCTGCGCGATGGCTACCAAACGCCCGATCAACGAAGCAGACATCGCGGAACTTCGCGAATTGCTGAGAGACACAGACACCCAGTTAGTGACACCAAAGGAAACTGAGGCATACACAAAATCCATCCACCGATGGTCAAGCGCTGCTGTGAAGCCAGCGGGAGCATGTCTAATACCCAGATCGGCAGAAGCAATCTCAATCACCCTCAAGTATGCTTCGGAACACAGTCTTGATCTCGCCGTCAAAGGAGGTGGTCACTCGACTGCTGGCGCATCATCAACGGACGGCGGACTACTCATCGACTTGAATACACATATGCGTACTACCGACGTCGACGTCGAGGGAAGAACGATCAAAGTCGGCGGAGGTGCCGTTTGGGGTGATGTTGATGAAGCTCTTGCACCGTACGGTCTTGCAGCAGTTGGTGGCACCGTCTCAGATACCGGGGTCGGTGGTCTCACGTTCGGCGGCGGCTTTGGCTGGCTCACAGTCAAACACGGACTGGTTGTCGACAATCTCGTTTCATGTACTGTCGTATTGGCGGACGGCAGTATTGTCAAAGCCTCTACCGATGAGAATCCAGACTTGTTTTGGGCTCTGCGCGGCGCGGGACAGAACTTTGGTGTCGGCATTGAGTTTGTATTCCGCACCCATGAGACTGGCGATCTGTGGGCTGGCTTCATGATGTTTCCACCAACGCCAGATATCATCAAGAAAGCCGTGGAGGCATGCAACGATATCTTCACCCCGGACGCAGATGGCAATTCAAAAGCGACAGGGAAAGCTGCGAGTGCTTTCGGTTTCGTTAGGCCTCCACCCGCTGGTGGCCAGGTTCTGTTCTTCGTAGCCGCGATCTTTCACGGGTCGGAAGAAGACGGCAAAGAGCTTTTCAAGGATATCGTTGGGTTGGAACCTTTGATGAGTACCATGGCAATGATGCCTTACGCCAAGGCAAACAAACTCATGGATCTACCCATCGGTGCGCGTGTCTCTATCAAGGGCGCTGGATTCGAGCTTCCTGTCCGTGGCGACTTCGTGGTTTCCGTCTTGGAGGCGTATGCCAAGTTTACTGACCAGACATCCGATGCAGTCGGCTCCCAGGTTATGTGGGAGCTACTAGACCCAACGAAGATTGTTGAAGTCACCAACTCTGACATGGCCTTTGCGAACCGCGGACGGCACTTCAATGCAGCTGTTGCGCCATTGTGGTGGGATCAGGGCAACGATCAGAAATGTAGGCAGTGGTCGAGGGATGTTGCGCTCCTGTTCAAGAACGAACTTCAGCGTGGTGGCGCTGAGGCAGCGGCGAGCAACGATGGGTGGATTGGCAAGAGAGGCAGTCATGGAGCGACAATGGTGTATGGGAACTACGACCGTAAGTACTCTCCAAAGCGTGAAATTCTCACTTATATACCGCGAACGCGGGAAAGATTTTGTTATGCAGGCAGGGGTATGCTAACACCCAAACAGAGTACGAAGAGAAGTCCAGAGACGTCTTTGGCAACAACTACGAACGTTTGCAAGATCTGAAGGCCAAGTACGACCCACAGAACATGTTCAACAAGCTCTTTGCTGTAGAACCGAGGGCCTTGACTCCCTAGATATACTTGTATACATTGTTGCCAACCTCGCTAAATGTAGGTGTACAATGATATCCAGGACGTGACAACTCATGCGCAGGATCATTTCCATCAACCGAAAATCACTTGTCGCCTCCAAGGCCATCTTTCCTGTCATGTAACACAGCTCAAATTGTATGTTGTATTCCCAATACTGTGTTATCTCACATCTCTCTCAACGTTTCTCATGCTATGTAGTACTAGCGAGCTATAGTCCATCTACCAAACACCCATCTTGTCGAGCTCGACGGGACTCAGCTCACGCCCATCACCCCATACATCTTCGGAAGGATCGAGGCGCTTGTATATCTCTCCTTCATGTGCAAAGCGGCACTGTTTGTTCTTGCACTTGCCCTTCTTGTAGTCTTCGCATGCAACCCGCCTGCAACCTTTCTTGATGCCTCGCATCGAGCAGTTCTTGCATAGAATCCCGCGGTCGCAGTCCCAGTTGTGTCGCATGCACTGGGTGCAGTGTGCGAAGCGTTCAGATTTGCCTTTGAGGTGCGCAGGAACGGATCTAAACAGAATCAGCCATGTAAGTGGTGAGGGATATCGTGTACTAACGCAGCGGCTTTGGCAGCAACAGCCTCGTTGGATGTCTTTGCGTTGGACTGGAGAGCGAGCGCTTCCTTCGCGGCTTTGGCTAGCTTGGCTGGTAACTCCGCCCTCTCAGCCTCGAGTACCTTGACCTGTGCATCGCATGCGTCATACATGACCTTGAGCCCCTTATCCTTAGCATCTACTTCATTCTGAAGTCGCTCCATCGTGTGGGTGAGCGTCTCGATTCTGGCCGTATGCTTGTCGCGCATTTCTCCGAACAGCTTGCCGCAGCCGTCAATCATGGTCTGCAGTTCTTCCTTCTTTCGCGTGAGATCATCGACCTGGATACGGTGTTCAAGCTTCAGGTGCCACATGTTCTTCTCGTGGTCCATGTTCACCCTCTCTAGCTCTTCCTTATACAATTTGGCAGCTGTGTCTTGTGCTTCTTTTGCTTCTTTTCTCATAAGATCTTTCTCCTTTGAATGCTCCACAAACGATCTGTACTCCTCCGGTAAACAACTCTCACGTGCTGCCGGCTCGTTCTCCTTGCGTGTGGTCGGCGGGTTGTTCGTGCCAGCGTCTTCCAACTGTCTCGGCAACACGTGCCGGCTTGATGGCGTTACAAGGGCATCGCGCTCAGCCATGATTGGCAACTGAATGAGAGTTAGCTATGCTGATGCAGTCAATTGTTTGACTGCGCGGCGAGGTTCGGTGGTGGCTTTTCAGTGTTGTAGCTCAGACGGGCCACGAGTATTTCGTGCCGGACGCACCTTCACTTGTGCGGCCCTACGCGTAAGCGAGCAAACAACAAACAATAGACGGTGAAAGTGAAAGAGACTTAGGTTGCGCCTTGATAGCTCAAGACCTTAGTCCACTCTCCACCCCCACCACATTTGCCATCTAACGTCTTCCACGACCGTTCTTGCCAGCAACCACCCAGCCGCACCTTCTCCATACGACTCAAAAACAAGGTATTCCTCCGCTTTTCACCCAATCCGAACCAGGTCGCTAACAGCCAGCCCTAAGTTCAGCGCCACCATGTCCCTCCCCAACAGCCCAGTCGATCCAGTCGCTCGCCTCGAAGCAGAACTCGCGCAAGAGAAAGCCGCTCACGCGCGCACGACAAAAAAGCTGGAAGCCATTACTCATCTCCACGCCAATCAGGCGGTTACTATCAGTTCTCAAATCGGCATCATCAGGTCGCAGATCCAGAGGCATCCGGAAGATATCTCGGACATCCAGGTAGAAGCCAGGAAAGCGGAGGACGAACGCCAGCGCAGGACATCGGAGGCGAGTGCGATGGCAAATGGGCCGTAGAGAGCGAGAAGGAGTTATGAGGAAAGATCTCAACGGCTATGCGCATTATCTCATAGGGCTTATGCAGCGAACTGACGGAAGAAGTAAGGTTGAGCTCGTCAACTAGCGGGGATGATACAGTATTGTAGCAACGACCCAAACAATCTATAAACACATACTGAGTATTGCGCTGCAATCTTGAGAATTTGAGTACCGACCTAAAGGATTGCGATTCAGTGATACACCTCACGTGACAGAGCTACCCGCTTTCATAGCATATTGGTTGGCTAGCATCCTAGCGCAGCGTTCTGACTCCTCGGTTCCACGGTTCTTTGGCGCATTCATCCACAGGCCACCATGAAACAAGAACATTTACTTACCTATGTAGATCATACGACTTACTCATTCCTCTTCTATCGTCCTCATCATATCCAATTTTACCGACTTTATCACAACGTAATCACACGATGGACCGTAACGACACAGAGACTACCGGCTACATAGCACCGAAGCCAGTCGCATCCGAGGAGGGCAGCCTCGACCACATTCCGGACGTTCTGGCATTGCATCGACATCCTTTCCTCCTCGTTGGATGCGCGGCACAGCGATGGATGGGGTCTGCCGGAGCCATGACAGATGTATGCGAAATTCTCATCCGCCACAAAACGCTGAAAGCCGTCGCATCAGATCTTTTGGCCACGGAAAGATGGGAAATCAACGAAGATCCAGAAGACATTTTTGGCAATGACCCAGTATTGAATTGCGACGCCGATATCGTTCTCCGGCAAACCTCCATCGAAAACGAAGACGAGTTCCGCTACCTAGCTCTTTGGTCCGACACCGCATACCATATGGACATAGATAGCTGCATCACTATCGAGGTCCCCGACGTGTACTGTTGGCAGCCTATACTCGTAGAAGAAACCTGGCATCCAGCTCTGCACCGAGAGAATGGATGGTGGTATGGTCCTCGTGTGCATCCAGATACGAAGGTGCCAAACTCGCCTCTTGGTGCGCATCCCAAATACATCTTTTTCCCCGGCCTTCCGCGCGGCAAAAGCGCAAGCCACCCAAGTCCCATTTTGGTCCCGAATCTTACGACCTATCTCGACTCGCTGATCTACCATGCCATCCACTACAAGACTAAAAAGCCGGGTCTCTGGGCTGTGTCGTTGTGGGTCCTGAAGAATTTGACGAGATATCTGTATTTGGAGCTAGACCATCAGCAGCGGTAGCTGCTGATTGAGCTGGAAGAGTATGAGTTCATGGGAGCCTATCTCGGGAGATATGTGAGAAAGCCAAGGTTTGTTTTTCGTAAGGACGAGAAGGGAGAATTTGAGGCAACTAGGGTGAGGGAGTGGGATCCTACAAGCTTACCAGAGTGGTGTTGGACGAACCCGTGGACAAGTACCTAGATAGGCATTGATAGATGAAATCTGATAGCCTTTGAGGCTGCGCGCTTACAAAGATAGTTCATCTGTTGTTACTCAATAGACACCATAACTTGTGCCGTGTGTGTGCCTCTAGGGAAAACAGAAAGGTAAGCCGTCACCGCTAACGGTCCGAAGACGCGCCTCCGCATACTCAACACGAGAAGATAACTGCATGCCGATGAGAAGCCTTTGGCGAATGTCGAGGATGTAGGTAGGAAGGATAGTGCGGTATGCGCTTGCACTCGGCCATCATGCTGACGGCACGTGACTTCCTGCCACTTGGGCGCTAAGAAGTTTTGAGCCGAGAGTGACGTCACTCTAGGTATCATCGACTTGTGCCTTTTCCCAGGACCATCCGACATACAGCCCGTGATCGGCCGTCGTACATCGGACATCGTGTTTCGTACAATTGGCTTTTGAGGCAATGCATTCCAAGGCTCGCAGCGTTTGTTATAGCGGGAATTGCAATATGCATGGCCAACCCTAAATGCCTGCCCCTACCTAGGAGGTAATGGAGATACTAATCACGCAAAGCATATTTGATGGAGAGCTGTCAAGATGTGTCAAGGTGGTTACTAAACGCTTGAGGAAGGTTTGATTTGTGTGCGTGATTACTCACATGACCTGAGACGTAGTTTCACACCAATCGGGCCTACCACGATAAAGTGCTTATGGTAAAAGGAAGAGGCATCGTAATCTTTATGCCGCTTATCGGCCCTCAGCACAATCAGCTTCTCCCGAGATGCCTCCAAACTTTGATCTAGCATAGTCTATCTGCGGTGGATGAGGAAGATGGTCACAGTGTGCTGGATGCTCATTTGAATGGTTCTGAGAGATGTAATTACGATTAACAAGATATGCTAAACGGATCTCTATTCTACAACAACTCGCACCTTCGGGTATCATCCTCTCATCAACTCAATTAAAACTACATGATCGGATCTATAGCGGAGGAGCGTTAGGGTCCATCATGCACTGATCGACACGCATAAGCTGCTTGCCAGTAGCCTTGGCGATCTGAATGAACTCCCGAAGGTAGCTGACAGTGCTAGGGTAGAGGTAGTGGAGAACCACAAGGTTACCACCCTTGTCGACGTCACGCTGGAAAGCAACCTTCTGCTGCTCAGGGGTGTCGGTCTCAGCCCACAACCAATCCTCAACATCGACGCTCCAGTTGACAATCTTGGCGGTGTTGCCGACGGCCTTTGTGAGACGCGAGCGCATGCGGGCACCCTCGGTACCGAAGGGAGGACGGAAGTAGGTAGAGGTCAAGCCGTTGAATTGCGACTTCATGGCCTTGACGTCCTCGTTGTACTCCCAGTCAATGGATGCGTAGTCGGGGAGACCCTCCATCTTAGGGTGGGTGAAGGAGTGGAGGGCGAGCTGGTGACCCGCTGACATCATCTCCTTGTAGACGTTGGTCAGGTTGGTGGAGGCGTCGAGAAGGGGAGCGCCGACGGTGAAGAAGGTCACCTTGACGTCCTCCTCGCGGATGATCTTGAGGACTTCCTGGGCGAGGTCGGGTTGACCGTCGTCGATGGCGAAGGCGAAGGAGTTGGGGCGCTTGCAAGCGAAGACTAGGTCACCAGTCTCGTCCTTCTTGGGAATGGTAGTACCGGCGGGGACGGAAGAGACAATCTCGATGACGGAGAGAGTGACAGACTCAGTGCTGTGGAAGCCCTTGAGCGCGAAGCCGACGACGCGAGAAAGGTTGATGTTGAAGTGGCTGATGGGAATGTAGATGTGTCCGTTCTTGGCGTAGCGGCCGGCCTCAGCGGAATCCCAAGTCTCAGGGAAGGGAGCGATCTCGGTGTTGCACTGGCTGTTGTGCTGCTGGAAAGCGACAGTGAAGGCAGTGGTACCGGTGTAAGCGATGTGGAGGTAAGATCCCTTGTACTTGGTGAAGTCGGCACAGCCACCAGACACCTGGGTGTAGTAGGAGTAGTCGGCGTCAGGAGACTTGATGGTGAGCTTGCCGCCGGCGTACTGGAGAGACATGCCCTCGTCACCACCGTGCCAGTTGCCCATGGCGTTGGTGTTGGCGTTGGCGAACTTGTCAATCACGAGGCCGGTAGCTGATGGGTTGCTAGGAGCGGGAACGGTAGCAGAGGCGCCGGGGTCGGCAGAGGTAGGAGGCACAACGTATTCTCCAGAGTTGCCGCAGTAGAAGGCCATGGGACCGAAGGAAGTGGTACCAGAGAATCCGGAAAAGAGGATAGTGGTAAGCTTCTCGGTGTTAAGGCCGGCGAACTTGCTGAAGGGAATGGTGTACAGCTTCTCAGTTCCATCGAAAGTCCATCCAAGGTCAGTTGCGGACGCGTAGGTGGACTTGGGGTTGGTCGCGTCACAGTTGTCCGAAGAGTCGAGCTGAACGGACAGGGTTGCGCCCTTAGGAGCCTTGATGCGAAGTGAAATACCGGTGTACTTGTTCTTCTTCGCGTCGACGCAGGGGAACTGGGTGTAGAAGTACGAGTCGGCCTTGGGAACGAACTCGACGTGGTTAGTAGACGGCTTTCCAACGGTGATGGAAGTCATGGAAGCATCATCAGAGGTAGGGTATCCCATGGCGTTGTAGAACAAGAAGGTCAGACGCGATTGAGAAATCCAGTCATCGATCAACAAAGGAGAGCAGGTTCCAGCTGAGGCCGTGGGAGACGAGATGGTTGTCATGGTGCTGCGGACCGAGGAGCTCGAGGTGGTAGCTACCCTGGTTGCGGAGACGGAGGTGCTGCCACCAGCACTGCTGCCGCAACCAAAGGCGATGTTGCTCATCTGCCATGTGGCGGTGGTGGAAGAAAATCCAGCCCAAACGAAACCGGTAACAGCATTGGCGTTGGCACCGGAGAACTGGGACAGAGGAATGTTGATGGTCTGAGTGCTGCCAGTCAATCCAGAGATCGAAACGTACTTGGAAGAGTACGTCGTAGCCGAACAGCTGGTCTTGGTCTGGATCTCGAGGGTCGCGGAGCCACCGGCAGGTCCCTTCATCTGGAAGCTGATGGAGTTGTATCCATTGGAGCTGGCAGCCTGGCAAGGGAAGGTCTCGTAAAAGTAGGATCCTGACTTGGGCTTGAAAGACAGGACACCGCCGCTGGCCGAGATCGAGGACATGGATCCATCATCTGCGCTGGTTAGCCTTTCTTCTTGTGCAGCACTTCAACAAGACCTACCACTGGTCCACTCGCCCAAGCTGTTCTGGTTGGAAGTCTGCTTGGAGAAGTCGTCGATCTTGAGGGGTGCGCTGCAGGCTGCGTTGACAGCCTGGCTGGCGAGTCCGGCCATAAGGCCTATTAGAGTAGTAACACGCATGTTGAGCGTAGTAAAGCGAGTGTGTTGCAAAAGCGAATGTACGGAAGTCTATGACTTCCAAGAGTGATGAGTCTCTGCACCCCGAGTTGACGGTAAGGGCGATGAGTGACAGGCGATAACTCGTGAAGATCTTCCCAGGCGCAGACTCTCCCTAGATATATCTTTCTCCCCGACGCAGCGGCGCGAGACCTGACACGAGCGAGATTAGCCTTAGTGGCCTCGGCATGCACGTCTTCGCGCAGCAGCCCTGTCGCTTCTACTATAGTAGGGCCACACGGTCTATTTCGGGTCAGCAGAACCTGGGCGTTGGTAGATCACCGGAGCGCTTGTGCTGTATCAAGGATAGATCGGCTTACTCTTCGGCTCGGGGAGCGGCTAGGACAAGGCGACCCCTGAACTCGATACATCGTTTTCTAGGCGTTTGTGGAGCACGGCGTCCCATTGTATGGTAATCATCGCTACTCATGGTGGGTATACACTGTTACGACCGGTCAACGGTGCGCCCCCCGTTCCTTTGCGATGTTTGTGCTGCGGCGTTGATCGCGTAGGTTATTGCTATGACGTCCACGTTCCATGAGGCAGGAATCCAGAAACTCTCCGCGCACTGAATTTGGTTCGGGCTCGGCTGAAACAACCAAGTTTACTGCAATTCTAGTCCGCGCCTCAGGCTCAACGCAACGAAAGACATCCTCCAAGATACGAAGGCCAATACTTGGCCTCGCGAAGAGTGCGAAGGCGTACTTGGCCATTACCTATGCCGAGTGTGCCGTGCAAAGACAGCAGCGGGGTGGAGTGATGATAGTTTGCTGGTGGCTGCAGGAACCGAGAGACGGCGCGCGCCACCTCCAGGAGGAAAAGGAACTATGCCCTACGCAAACGAGCATTGCCACTGCCGTGACAGAGCCTGCAGCTCGGGTCAATCCACAGAATCAAAGAAAATCCACGAGAAAAGGAACAACCTTCGCAGTTCTAGACCATGATGCAGGCAACGTTGCGGATCTTTGTAGATTCTACAACCTCAAGCGGTTGTGTCTATCGCCGTCAGCACCGCATGACATGAAAACAAAATGGCCTGAGTAAGGATGCATATACGAAGTGGGACAGCGCACAGTTTTTTTCCTGTTGTGGTGGGATGCACCGGTGATGCTGGTAGGATGGGGTTCATGCCGCTTGCTGCGAGTCGGAAGCACGGCGGAGATTGACGGCATTCGAAGCAGCAGTCAGGCCTGCCATTTCCACCCAACACTCCATGCTCTCGCAACACAACATTTGCACCATGCCTGCCAGTATAGAATGCGATGCCCAAATTACCGCTGGATTCCGCACCTGAATGCTGACCATGTGGCGTTGCAGCTGCAATCTCCCCCTCGGTTCCCCTGCCAAGGCGTCGCGCCATCCAGCCGCTCCGGATTGTTTCGCGTTTAAGAGACAGGCCTCGAAGCAGTTAGCACTGGAGATATCGGAATCACGCCGGGATATGTCTTGGCTTTACATGACTAGTGCTTGCTTTTCGGACGATAGCTGGGCGGAGAGACTATCGCTCCACTCGCTGCACTTGCAAGGCTGGCGCGCTCCGACAGCACCGACCATAACGAATCTTCATCTCGATCTGCGATCCGTGGTTCACCCAGTCATTGCTCTTCAGGCAACCTTATATGTTTTGTCAATGATGATGACATATTAGAGGCTTCTTTCCATCTTCCGTGTATATGGACAGCTCGCCAGCAACCGCAATAGCCAGCAACAGGATATGGCCATGTGTATAGCTGTCCGGACGTTCGCCGACTTATCAGCTGGAATATACACGTAACGGGCAAGGTGACTCCAGTGCATCAGCTGCGCCGTACAGCAACACATTCTCCTTTTTTCATTCACGACCCATCACACCTTGGCACAGGGATACATGTGGTAGGCTTCAGATTTCCAAACCCAGTCGTCATTCAATTGAGAGGTATGGGAGGGTGCTGGCGAATAGAAGAGTCGGACAACGCAAGAATGGGTTCGGCTTCGTCGCAACTACAGATCCCAAGTCATCAACGCCCTGCATACGGTCTCACGTAACGTACTCAACTTCTTTCCACATTGGAAAGAACACCGTCCCTCGCGCAATGAACTTCACAGCAATGAGAGATCCAACACATATGATGGAGATTGTATGACGGAACAAACTAAGTTAGGAAGTTTCCTGCCGTGAACGCCGTTGATGCTCCCTGGGTATCGTCGCCATCCCTCATCTATCTACCAGCACTCTGGAATGCAGGCTGGATTATACATTCACCGTCCGTCTCATCCTTCGATGTATCCAGTCCACGTAGAAGCAACAATGCGTTCCACTCAAGTCTCAATCATCCTTGTGGAGACGTCCGCATGCACCGCCATAGCAAGATGCTGCAGGACGAACGAACAAGTGGCAACGAGGACGTGTACATTCGGCGCCATTGCGAGTGCACTCGGCGCAGCTGTCGCGGGTGCTATCGCAGGGCAGACCATTGGAGGCACAGTGCTTGCACTTGATGACGCGGTTGTATGAGCTCGAAGAGCCATCACCGAAGCTACTACGGCACTCGGGTTAGCGTATGCCTTCACCGTGATATGAAAGGTCAGTGGCTTACCTGGTACCTTGCGCGCCGATTGCGATTGCAATGGGGGCGACAGCAACCGTACGCGGAGGCATGGCGACCTCGGTTGAAGGGACAGCAACTGCAGCTGGCGCGGCAGCAGCAGGCTGCGCTATACCGCTGGTCTGCATAGTCATACTCTCCAGTCGCAGCTGCAGCTGCGCCACTTTCCGCTCCTGTGCTATCGCATCGCTGATGGCCGCTTGCTTCTGAGCCTCCAGCTTGACCTTCAAGTCCCTGACCTTCTCTTCTCCGTCCTTCACTGCCTCCTTCGCTGCCTCCTTCGCTTTCTCCAGGTCCACGATCAAGGCAGTCCTAGCGTCCTGTAGGCGCTCATTCGCAGTGTTGGAGAGCGACAGGTGGTACGTGAGACGACTGATGCGATATTTGTCGTCCGAACGTTCTTCCTCGGCAGTGAGTTGCTCGCCCATGTCGGCGTTGCTTGACGGATCGCTAGATGTTGTCAGTCAAAGTACATTGGAAATCGCCTGAGTACTTACGGAGATGGCGCCCTTGATTCGCTCAGAGAAAGAAGGTAGCCGAGCTCTTCAGTGTTGTTCTCGAAGAACATGTCCCGCATCATGGTAGGCGCTGGGTAATCGTCCTCGTAGTAGTCGGCGTCTTCCTCGTCGCCGTACTCGTTATCGGGACGGTCAGTTTCGCCGCCTACTTCATGCATCTCTGTGTCCTCATGGACGCTGTCCTGGACGTTGTTGACTGCGCGCTGGTCGGCCATGTTCGTGAGCAGAAACTTTCGCTCAATTTATGGTGAAGAGATGCGGGGTCAAGCCACGGCGGGTTTTCCAGAGATATCTGAGAACCTACGCTAGGCAGACGCGAGCTATCTAGGTAGAATGCGGCTAAGCAGTGGGGCTACGCTTGGCTAGTCGAAGTGAAGGTGAAAGTGCGTCCATCTCGCGTGGTTCAAATTCTTATGTACAAAGGAAAAAGACACAAGATGTATATCATTCTGATTATCTTTGCTGTCCAGATTGTCTGAGATAGCGTTACATGACACGTTGTCACACTTAAGGATTGCAGTCAATGGACCAGAGATGGACGGACTACACGAAACACATAGAGTTATCGCAACACAAAGGAAAGGTATAAACGCTATGTTTAATAGCGCACATCGAACTTCACAACAAAGTGAGAGTACCAGAACAGTTTAAGGCCATCAAAGGAGACGAAAGGTCTAAAGTGAAAGGGACGACAAGGCTGATGACCATCCCAATCGTAGTTTCTCCTCTCCTGACCGGCTCTTCTATCTATCGCAAACCAGTATAAAGCCTCTAGAACCTCTTCCACTCCTCTGGGCGACGCGGTAACTCAGAGCCTGTCAATTTCGGGGGAATAGAAGCGGGACCGACAACCTGGGTGATGTGCGTTTGAGGTACCAAAGAAGCTTCGGGAAATCCATCATCGGGGTGAGCCAATCCACAATTCATCTTAAGACACACTCCCTGCAGAAGCAGACGTGCTTTGTCAGTATAGGTCTCAGATGCATTTAGTACGGTCCGAACTGACCTCATCGTAGTTGTTGCATTTCATGCGTATGCAGGGAGATCCTCGGGACGCGCAAGCCGGGCAAGTGTGGCTGTTGTCACAGTGACGGATCGTCTTGTTGCGGAAACATTCGACGCAGGCAACAATCTTTTCCTTGCGGCGTTTCGGGAGTGTGAACGTGTTCTGGGTTTCTCTAGCACTCATTAGCAAGGTGGTCAGACTGAGGGTATTGAAGTCGTACTCAGCCCCTTCAAGCTCTCCTAAACGGCGCTTCTTGACCACGCTCTGGACGGGTGCGGTCAATCTAGATTGAATCAGTAGACGAAGGCTAAATCGTAGATGCAGACTTACGCGATCTCCGAGTTGGACTCCGCATTGGGCAAGACAAGCTTCGCTTCGTACTCGTTGCGCATAGTCATCTCGAACTCCGCCTTGGACAAGACAAGCTTCTCTTCGTACTCGTTGCGCATATCCTTCTCGAACTCCGCCTTGGACAAGACAAGCTTCTCTTCGTACTCACCGCGCACCTCAATCTTCTGATCCTCCAGATTCTTGACACAAGTCCTCAACTCTGCGCACTCACCCTCAGCCTTCGCGAGCTTGTGTTCTGCAGCTATCGCCTGACCAAGAAGATCTGCACAGCGCTGGTGGGCGTCTGCAGCTGTGAGGCGCGCGGGGGTGTCGGACTCTTCTGCCTCCTTGAGACGCTTCGCGATATCGTCTGCCTTGTACTCTTCGATCTCCCGATTGGCAGTGAAGATAGTGGAGCGCTGGTCGCGGTTCTCCGCGTTCAATCGGTTGACCTCCGCGTTCAATCGGTTGACCTCCTGGTGAGCAGCTCGAAGATCTTCGCGAAGCTTCGCGATCGCAACCTCATGTGCCTGGGCTACTGGAAGGATGTCTATCAGGGTGGTGATGTTGATGTCGGTATCACTTGCGTCTCCGATGCTGTTGGCCATGGTGTTGGCTGACCGTTGCTGATACAACCGGCTGGGTAGGTGTTCACTGCTGGGGTTGGGTCACTACCTAGGTAGAAAGATTGTGAGCAGAGTGAGCGGGCGGCCGGCAGATAGCGGAATGACTCACTGCACTAAGAAGGCTTATTGCCTATTTCGATATTTCCAAAGCGCTCACTCACCGTCACCGTCCCCGGTCCGTCAGTGACCGGTAGCGTTGGATATCACGTGACGTTAGCGCGCCAAGCCGCTCGGTCAATATACAATCTCGCCTGGTCCCTCCAAGCTTTCTCTTTCTTCAACGACTCGCGCCGCCTTTTCCACAATTGATTAGCTTGAGAGCGCACTGTGATCGCATTCTATGTGACGCAGTGTGACCCTCCCTCGAACAGGTACCCCTTACGAAGTACGCGGACTTTGGGGGCTTCGTTTGTTGAGCTGACGGTTGTGCGTTGAGCTTGCTTTCAGTGATTCTTTTTGGACGCTGGAACAAGCTCGCTATCGAGATCAATGCATTGATCCAAGGTCCGACAACCGAAGACGATGTACTCACCGCGGCGCGTTTTGATTCACTGACACGCTTGAAGGGCGTCGAGATTAGTGCAACTCACGGCGTTGATGGCTTGTCCACGGCGTTGATGGTTGCATGGTCTTGAATGCCTTTCCTTCGGGCGCAGGTCTATGGCTCCGGTGGTCGGGCTTGAGCCAGCTTGCGTTACGATAGGATCGAACTGGGGGCTAGTGTCTTTTCATCGAACTATCTTCTTTATGAAGATACTTGAGGAAGAGATTTGAACTCATCAAATGGTTTTCGCGAGTGCTAGGATACCTACGTTTTGCTCAACATGATGCGCTATGCGTCATTACTATGTGAGTGCAGTGAGCTCATCCTTGTTTCACACCATCAACCCACACATCCACCGCCTCGTCGTAAAAGCACATATACCCCGCAATTGGTGCGCTCTCACTCGTCGGGTATCGATAGTACCAAACAAGATCCCGATACAGCTTGCCACCAACGCTGATGTGGTAGTACTCCGCGCGACCCTTGTACGGACACAAAGTCAGTGTGTCACTCGGTGTGAGGTACTCCCAGTTCACGCTCGTGGGCGGCATATAGTGCCTTGTTCTGAGTGTTGTCTCGAGAAGGAATAATGGGCTTGAGCTTTCGGCAAGTGTGACGCCATCGATGGCTATCCTAACGTTTCGAGAAGATGGTAAGATATCGATGCGCTTGTAGGGATCCTTGGGATGGCCGTAAATCTCCATGTCCTCTTCGAACCATTGATCAATCGCTCGGAAGTCAACCTTTACCAGATCTTTGAGCTTGCCGGTATTGAAGATGAGGATGCGATTGCTGCTGCGATTGCCGACTGTAAGACTCGCTAGATGTGCGCCGCCATCTGTCCCGTCCACGGCGGAGCCTCGCGATAGCTTGGCGTGAGGGGTGAAGCTGGAAATTGGTACGAAGAACCTTTGGTGTTCAGCATGACGAAAGCATTCTCACGAGGAGGAGGTTCATACTGTGGGTAACGCAACTCCAGTTCCCAAACATGATTCGCGTTTAGTGTGTCGAATGCATACTTTCCATTCAGAAGGCCGCGTACACGGCGTGCCGTATGTTCTATTCTGCATGGCCCATCGCGAACGAGTTTCTGTGCCAGTCGTATTAGACTGCGTTTGTCAGCTTATCATTACTACACATGATGGAAAGCTGGTGAGGACGCAACTCGCTAGTGCTTGCCATCATGGGCGTCTTATGTGTTGAGTTGGATTTGCGATAGTTTTTTGAGATGAACCGATGTCGAATAATGCTGAGAAGATGTCGGGCACACATGCGAAGGGGGATGTCAACTGGTGATGATGTAGGCTACCTTAGTACCGGAAGCGGGGCCGTCCTGATTGGCAGGAATAGCCGGAAGCTTACCAACCACACAACCACAATGAAGACACTATCTCTACTAATCACAAAGATACAGTCTACAAACACGTACATGGTATCTGCTTGCACATTCGGAGCCACCCCAGGAGGATCTCAGCGGATCCTTAACACAAAACACTTACTCCAAAGGTCGCCGCGGCATACCGCGTGTCGTTCGTCCACGATCGACGACTAGGTGATACCTTGGCCTTGCGGTCTACATGAGAGATCGTGAGCACGATGAGGCGCCCTGCCATTCCTGAAGTCGCCGCGCCTGATCGTCACAAGCGATGCTTATCTTGACGGCAATGCTCACCCGGTAACCTCAAGATGATAATCGCCAGGGGTGGTGTGGCCAAGTGGAGACTACCTAGGTATTCACGAAGGCACGTGACTCTATGAATACACGCACCGCACCCGGTCACTCACCGCGCGAGGTAGTGTAGCCTAGTAGCGCTTGGACCCACTTCCCATGTCTGCCTTGCGACAACAGTTTGTCTTTCTCACACCAACTGTCACAATCTCGTCGATTTCGTCTTTGACCAAGATCATCACGAACATGTCCGGTTCGCACTCCCCTCCACGCGCTCGACCGGCATCGCCGCGACGTGCACCATCGGCTTCGCCAGCTCAGCCCGACACCCCGCATGCAGACGCCTGCGAGTTCGACGACTTGAGCGTTCCAGACCCCAAGGCCACCCACGAGGAGAAGGTTCGCTTTTACCTCGCCCAGCTGGATCTACCAGACGGTTTTCTGTTCGGGCAAGACGAGTAAGTACCCCCTGTAGTCCTGTAATACGGTCATGTCTAACCATGTAGCTCGCTTCGCAACGCCGACGAGCTACGCGCTAAGTTAGGAGAGCTCAGGCGTAGAGGTCGCGCTATGCGTGTCTGGCTCAAGGACATCGAGAGCGTGGCCCGCGAAGAACGTGCGAGGAATGACGCCACAGAAGTCCGTCGAGACGCTCTTTCGGCAGAGCTCGCTAGGCTCCAGGAGGAGCTCGCTCAGGCTAAAGCTGAACTCGCTCAGGGTAAAGCTGAAATGGATGAGAAACTCCATGCTCTTCTCGACTCGGCGTTTGGCGCTCTCCCCTAAAAACAGTGAGACCACCACTTCGTAAGTCCAGCTTCCCATCTATTACAGGACGACCTCACTAACGAATGAGGATGCTCACGAAGGCGGCAAATTAGGCGGATGATGAAGTATACGTAAATCCGCGTGTATGAATACAGGATACTTTGGATGTACAGGGAGTGAGTAGACATGTTGATGTCGCCGCTATGAGGCAACACTGTCGCCGTAAACCTCGACAAATAAAACGATGTGTCCGCAAAAGCTTACGTTGCATGTGAACCTGGTATACTAATGATTCAATATCGCACTCATCATCTGTTATGCGGGTTGGAGCGACGAAGGGATTTCGCGTATCCTGATGGTATCTTCGCACAGTATCTGACGTCAGTGGCTAATAATCAACTCATCCCATGTCTGAAATGCGAGAACTACCTTCCACGTATCAAGTAAAGATGTATTCACCTTCCTCAAGCCTCGCCACTAGGGAAAGGTACTCAATGAAAATGATCCATCCCGCGATGCATACTCATGGCTGACACCAGAGCTGCAGGCGACCGGAGATGAACAAGCCCGTGTATCAACTCATCGCTTGCGTACAAAGGACAAATCGCACATCAGACTTGCCCACCATTTCAGGCGTGTAAGTTCCCGTGGGAACTAACCTGAGAAATGAACTGCACTGCGAGCGAGACTCCGATCGGGCTGTCAGACCCGAGTCGAAGTATGAATCTCTGGCGAACGTTCCAAGAACCTTGGTCAGTTCCTCGCACATACCCCCAGCACAACGAAGCACTCAAGATCCCGTGAAACCTTGATATGTGATCCGAAGTGACTCATCAGTAAGAGAATCCCTTAAAGTGAGCCCAAGCCGATGAGCTGTGGAGAAGGCAGTGAAAACAGTTAGAGAAGAAAAGAGCGAGTTAGAGGGGCAGACCGAGCTGATATAGATAGGTAGAGCCACTAGGCGCTTAGCGCCCCAGGATGCACGTGACATATATGGCCTAATTAATAGGCAGCGTAGATGACGGCGAAGTGAATGAGAAATAACCCTGTCGAAGGCGAGGGAGAATAACCGATACTCTACTTACGTCATTGCGAACTTTCTAGCACCGGATGTCTAATGTCGCACCCGCCATTGAGCTAGCTCGTAACATGTCGCATCGCCCACTGCGCCTTGATGCATAGCGACATTGGCCTTCGGGAAGTGACCTTGGAGGACCACGACGACGTCAAGTAGTCATCTGAACCTACGCCCTCCATTACCCTGAGGCTTCAGCCGACTACGGAGTGATCACCATGTCGCGCGGAGGTGTAAGGTAGGGGTTTGGAGACTTTATACTGGTTTGTGGTGGTCGGAGAGGTCGGTCAGGAGAGGATATATACCTATGACAGCACTTGGTTAGATCAAATGTTGTTGCAGGTCTTAACGACGACCTCCCGGGCATATCAATGGCAGCGAGATCGAATAGTGTTGCTGGGACGTACCCGGCAAGCCATCGTAGAATAATTGATACAAGACACTAGAAACACCCTTCTTCACACTTCCGTGACTACTATGAGACGAAACCTTCCTACTTTCACTTAAAGCTAACACCGTAACTATTCCAACCCACCGACTGATCCCAACCCTGAACCAGTGTCTTCCCACCTGGGCCCGTACATACATTACCCTTCTCAATTTGTTCCTCCTCCTGCACCTTTCCATCGTTCTTCCGCCCATTATCCCAGCCGTTTTGCATGCCAAATCCAAGGTAACAGTCATCACGCTGAATAGGCGCAAATCCGTGAATCTCGAAAGTCACAGCGAGAGAGATGTCAGGCTTCTTCTTATCGGGATTGGGCAGCTTGAAGGCATAGTCGGCGGTGAGAGGCGGCATGATGGGCTTGTTGTGAGGGTCGATGACGGGTTTGGGAAGGAGAGGAGGATTGGGAGCGTCGGCGCGGACGTGGTCGTCGCACCATTTCTTTGCTGCCTTGTGGAAGTCTTCTAGAGTTGGGTGGGGCTTTGATGAGCAGGATTGCTTGTCAGCTCGCTGTACGTTGTTGCTCGGCTCTGCGATTGGTGCGGCGAGGACGAGGCTTAGGAGGAGTGAGGTGGAGAGAAGCTGACACTTCATGATAGAATATGGTGACTGTATTGCGATTGCTTATTACGATGTCTTGCTTGAGGAGTAAAGTGGGTATGTTGCTGGCGGCTGGATCAGTGGCAGTAATATGAAAGTATGGTCTTCGGGTTGAGGAGTAGTGCAGTAACAGAGCACATACTATATACCTCACGCGAGTCACATCGCCGCTGTGAGTATCGGGAAATCGTACGAAGCTAATTTCCAACATCATCGTTCCCCTTGTGTTTTCTCTCCCACGCCTTTATTTCGATACACTGTGTAGCTTCGGATGTGGTATTGCGACGAGGTGCTCGTGAAGCGGAACGTCGTGGCAAGACAGCTGTCGTATGTGATCGTTGCGGTCGGTGAATTCAGGTGCGAGGAATGAGAAACGTATTGCGAGCGGGAGTTACGGTGGACTTGTGAAAGAAGCCACGAATGCGCTATGACAGTCGATCTCCTATACTACACCGCAATTACTCGATTTTAGTGCAACACTTTACTCTTCAACCAGCGTTATGATTAAGTCGCGAATATCAAGCTTACCGATGGGCAAAGTCAAGCAGTTCTTTCGTTCGCTAAGTCGTCGACTGTCGATCTCCATGTTCAAAGCGCGTGGCGAGTCCATAGGGTCGCGCGAATCAAGCCCTTGCTCTTCTCTGGCGCAACACGACACCGACAGCAAATCTACCTCGACAATAGAAACCCGAGCAACGTCCCACAACGAAGCGCGAACGTCGCCGTCTACGCCACCGATCGCGCCAATCGACCACACATGCCCCAAACCAGTGAAGCGAGGTGGAGCATCCATCGACAGCGCTCCGAGAAAGGATATGGTCAATCAGCGTATAAGCGATTTGAATGCGTATGCAGGTCTCCAAGTCAATATTGCGATATTGCGTTTCGTACACAGGCTACCGCTGGACGAACTACGCACCATTGGCCAGAGACTGACGCTGTCTTCGTCTTTTGCTGCGGGAAATACATTTGAGGAAGATGATCGACGTCTTCCACGAGGCGTCGCGCGACCAAAAACTATGAGCCTTGTTAGTACGACTAGGAACTTGAGTAGGTCTTTCGTATGTGGCCCGGAGAACAGGATTGAACGCAACCGTACTGGAGACGAATGTCGACACGATCAATGTGCCGTGCACGAAAGGCCGAGTCTCTATTCTTCGATGATGGACATGGAATCCCATGCGGACGCAATAACGCTTAGCCTCACCAGTCAAGAGAGCACCTCAGCATGGTCGTTCGCGTGTTCTTCGGCGCAACTCGTCGAGCGGGAACACGCAACTCGGCAGCGTGGAGCTGTGGACATGGAGCGCGCGCCTTCCTTCATAACACGATCGGCCGACTCATGTGATCTGTTCCTGGAATCCATTGGCCTCTCGATACACCCAGACAGTATTTCAAGAACCGACCACGAAGACACGGATGACTTTGACATGGAAAACTTACCAAACTGGTCCGACGTGGAGGACGACCCAGAGTACAACCAGTTTGAAGAGCGGTCATTCCACTGGACGGATACGGATAGCTCCCACTCTTCCAGGAAGTCGATGAGAATGGCGGACACGTCGTCGCCAGGATTCTACATGCCCGCTGTAGATGTCGACACTGTTGCACCTAACACGCATGGCGATGTCGCGCATAGCAATAACGGGTGAAGGATGATGGAAGGACTGAGGTTTGCAGGTGGTTGGGGTGTTGGAGCACCAAGACACAAGGGGAAGGCCAAGCGCCGGCGGCTAGCGGGTTCGCGTGTCAGGGAGCCTGGCTGGATTCGCAAGTCGCGCAGGACGGCGGTTCAGGGCCAATGCGCCATCATCGTCGTCGACACCTCCACATCCACCTACCACCAACCGCCTGCTCAATGTGCCACGGTGACGTCGCCCGCCTGTCCATCGCACCTTCCTCCTCATAGCATCGCTTCCTATCACCGGCGACTCCCCAGGCCCCTAGCGACCGCCCATCCCCCACGGCCGCAGCGACGGCAACATGCTGAAACCGCTGGCTGGCCGTTTGGCACGGCGGCCATGGAGATTTCTCTTCCCCGGCCTCCTTCTTTTCTTTTTTGCATACACACTCTCGCATCGGAGAGGGTCACATCCCCAGGCGCCCGTACACAAAGCGAAGACAAAGTCGTATTTCCCGCCCCTCGAAACCAAAGCCGCCAATTCAATCGAGCTCGACTACTGCCAGAATTTCCCTACCAAGCTACTGGAAGAGGTGCAGGTTGTCCTCAAGGTCGCATCGGACGGGGCACATGAGACGAAAGCACACCTGAGCACGGTATCGAGCTGCATCACGAATCTGATCATCGTGGGCGACCGGGAAGAGCGATTGGGCGACCGCCATGTCATCGACATCCTCGCAGAGCTCCCCAAGAGCTACCAGAAAGACAACGTCGACTTCCAAATCTACGTCGAGCACAAGAAGGCACATGAAGGCGGCGAGACGGTCAAGGAGCAGCAGCGGTCCTTCAAGCTCGATCGCTTCAAGTATCTGCCCATGGTGGATAAGGCATACATGACCAACCCCGCAGCCAAGTGGTTTGTCTTCATTGAGTCGGACGTCTACTTCTTCTGGGACACGCTCTTCCGCCTGCTCAGCCAGCTTGACGCCTCGCAGCCACATTACCTTGGCGAGGCGCACAAGGGCTCTGAAGGCCGCCATTTCGCCTATGGCGGCGCAGGAATCGTCCTCTCCCAGGGCCTTGTCAAGCAACTCATCCCAGGCAAGACCCCCGGCTCAACCGAGATCCCCCGCGAAAACCGACTAGGCGTCCGATACGAGAACTGGGTCAAGGAAGAACAGCGCGGCGACGCTGTCCTTGCCTACGCCATCCAGAACGCGACCGGCCACAAGCTCGAGCCCATGTACCCTACCTTTGCCAGCGACAAGCTTAAAGAT